GAAATGTCTCTTAAGTTCCTTTGCCTATTTTAAAATCAGGTTATTTGTTTTGGTGCTTTTTTGCTGCTGAGTGAATGGGTTCTATATATATTTTGGACATTAAACCTTCACCAGACATGCAGTTTGCAAATATTTTTCTCTCATTCCATAGGGAGAACACATTTTCATTGTGTTGATTGCTTCTTTAATGGTTCAGAAGCTTTTTAGTTTTGTGACAAATTCAACAAATCACTGCCAAGATCAATGTCAAGGTGATTTTCTGCTGTGTTTTCTTCTACAAGTTTTAATTGTTTGAAGTTTTACTTTAAGTCTCTAATTCATCTCATTAATTTTTATATATGGTATAGATAAGTTCCATTTTCATTCTTTTGAATGTTAGTATATATTTTTCCCAATGATTAAACAGACTTTTTCCCCATTGTGTATTCTTGATGTCCTTGTCAAAGATTAGTTAACCATGTATGTATGGATTTCTAGTTAGTGTGTTCCATTAGACTGTTTGTTATCATGCCAGCAAAAATTGTTTTGATTACTATAGCTTTGTAATACAAGTTGAAGTCAGGATGTCTGATGCTCCAACTTTACCTAAATTTCTTTGGCTAGTCAGGATTTTTTGTGGTTCCGTATGAATTTCAGGGTTTTTTTAATCACTTGATGTGATAAATGCCACTGGAATTTTGATGAGGATTGCACTGAACCTGTGGATTACTTTGAGTAGCATGGATAATTTAACAATAATTCTTCTAGCCCACGAACATGAAATGTCTTTCCATTTATTTGTGTCTTCAATTTCTTTTAATGAATGTCTTATAGTTTTCAGTGAACAGATCTTCTACCTTCATGGTTATACTTAAGTTTTTTTTTAAACATTTATTTGTTTGAAAGGCAGTTACAGAGAGAGGTGGAGAGAGATAAAGAGTGAGTGAGAGAGAGAGAGAGAGAGAGAGAGATCTTCCATCTGCTGGTTCGCTCCCCAAATGGTCACCATGGCTGGAGCCAATCCAAAGCCAGGAGCTTCTTCTGGATCTCCCACACAGGGTGTCTCCTTTGTTCAGTTTTTAATCACCAAAGGATGTTGAATTTTATTAAATGCTTTTTCCATACCTATTGAGATGATGAGTTTTTGCTGTTCATCTTTCATTCTGTTAATGCAGCATATTACATCTGTTGATTTGTCTATGTTGAACTACACTTGCATCCCAGAGATAAATTAAATCCCACTTGATTGTAATATATGATCCTCTTAAAGTACTGTTGAATTTGGTTTGCTAGTATTTTGTTGAGGATTTTTATATCTATGTTCATTGGGGATATTGGCCCATAATTTCCTGCAGTGTTCTTATCTGGAGCTTTGGTGTTGCATAACACTGGCCTCACAAAATTGGTTTGGAAGTGCTCCCTCCTCTTAGTTTTCTTTTCTGGGAAGGGTTTGTGAAGGGCTGGAATTCATTGTTCTGTAAAACACAGTGGAGTTCACCATGAGCTCTCCTTCAGAGATTGTTGGTTCCTGGATCAGTTTCTTTACTCATTTAATATTGGTCTGTCCAGATTTTCTGTTTCTTCATTATCCATTTTTGGTGGGTTGTGTGCTTCTAGGAGCGCATCCTTTTCTTCTGGGTTATCTAATTTGTTGGCACATAACTGTTCATAGCAGTCTTTTATGATCTTTTGTTTTTCTCTAGTATCAGCTGTAATGTCTCTTTTTTCTCTTGTAATTTTATTTGAGTCTTCTCTTTTTTCTTGGTTAATCCAGTTAAAGGTTTGTCAATTTTATCTTTTAAAAAAACCAACTCCATTTCATTGATCTTTTCAAATGTCTTTATACTCTTTCACTTATTGTTGCTCTAATCTTAACTTCCTTCCTTACGATTATTTTTAGTCTGTTCTTTTTCTAGTTCCTTGAAGTGCAAAATTAGGTTACTTGAGATCCTTCTTTCTGTTTTTATTAATTCTACAGCTCACTTTGAATGAGAGATTCTAGGTAATTGGTTTTTAGCAGCTCACTGTCACACTCTTTCATCATAGCCAGATGCTTGACAATTTTCTTAACAAACATTGGAAAAAATCTTACACAGAAGCTCAATAAACACCACACACAGAATTACTCTTGTTGATGCAGGTCGAGGCCCCAGAACCCCTCCACTTGGCCCCTGCATGCTTCCTGCGGTGGCCCTGAGGCACATCCCTGGAATCCCGGAAGTCTGAAGAATGCTGGCTTGAAATGATTGCTATAGATGTTCAACGAGGTCAGGCTGGGAGACAGCTGATAAATCCTCAGGACCGATAACGAACCGAACACAGGAGCAAGATGCAGCAGTGCTCCAGAGGTTTCAGCCATCTCAATGTCTGCCCAAACCTCAGTCTACTAAAACCACAGCATCTGTTGGCTTCTTGACTCATCTTACTACTTAGGACTGCATTCTTGTCAAACAGAAAGGGCAGGTAAGTGAAGGGGAAGTGACAGGTGGTTGGGATGGACAACAAAGGGAACTCTGGACATAATCAGATGTGTACTTAGAAAGGGCTACTCAAAATGATCATCTGACCAGGTATTAACAATCAAAGATGAAGAAAGCATTTGAGAAACCCAAGTGGATGCAGAAGGAACTAGTATGCACCCCTTTTAAAGATACAAATGACAGGCCAGCGCCGCGGCTCAATAGGCTAATCCTCTGCCTGCAGCGCTGGCACCCTGGGTTATAGTCCCGGTTGGGGTGCCGGATTCTGTTCCGGTCACTCCTCTTCCTATCTGGCTCTCTGCTGTGGCCCTGGAGTGCAGTGGAGGATGGCCCAAGTCCTTGGATCCTGCACCCACATGGGAGACCAGGAGAAGCACCTGGCTCCTGCCTTTGGATCAGTGCGGTGCGCTGGCTACAGCGGCCATTGGAAGGGTGAACCAACAGCAAACGAAGACCTTTCTGTCTCTCTGTCTCTCTCACTGTCTACTCTGCCTGTCAAAAACAAAACAAAACAAAACAAAAGATACAAATGACAGGAGGACAAGTGAGCAACCAAGGATGAACACAAAGTCTTGTACAAATCTTTAAGTGTAGTTTCAGGAATGCCAAAGTCAAAAATGAAGACCACTGAATAGGATTTTAAACATATTTAGGATAGAAGAAAAACAGAGAGAAGTTAGGAACACCACTAAGAACAGAGGCTTAATATGACCAAAAATCAGATTTACTCATTGCTTCTGTCAAAGAGAATGTTGTTCAGACCAGAAACGGCTAAGCAGAGTTCATTACTTTAGTACAGGTACCTTCAAAGGTGACCACAGAGGGGTGAGCATTTAGCTTAGAAGTGAAGGCACCCACATCTCACATCAGAGTACCTGGGTTCAACACCTGGCTCCAACTTCCTGCTAATACAGACTCTAGGAGGAGGTACTGATGACCCAAGTAATTGGGTTCCTGCCACCTATATGGGAGACCTGGAATGAGTTCCGGTAATTGGCCTTGGCCTGGACCTGCTCAGCCCAGCTGTTATGGGCATTTGGGGAGTGAACCAGCAAATGGGATCTGTCTCCTTGCCTCTCAATTACATGAATCAATGTGATCACAAGAATGACGTCAGAGATAGCTGCAAAGCTCAGAAATCAGGAGAGGTAGCATCAAATGTAAAAAGGTTCCTGCATCCAACAAGGAAACCAAGTAGACTGGCAATACTGATTTACAAGCTGACGCAACCCCTGGAAAATTCTAGGATTAAATATTACACAGAAATTTGATAAGCAGTTGGAAAAGGAAGTAGTGATTACCAGGGAGTTATAGAGGCCCATTGTGAACTAACCTCACCCCTTTTATTGCCTGGTTTACTAGCGAGAAAGATTAGGGATGATGGAGACACACCAATCTGGCTTTTAGTAAGATATTTACAAAGTATTTGATGGTGCCTTGGTGGACTGGGATTGTACAGATAAATTGCAATGCCCATTACTGAATAAGTACTATAATTAAATGTATGGATTCACAAATACAATGTCAAGTTGAGTGAGGTTCCTGGTGTTGGCATTTGGTTGTTCTAATTTTATTGCTATTATTTTTCCATTTCATAGTTTATAACTCATAACTGTGAAAGCAGAGGGTGGCGAGGTGCTCTGAGGGACTGAACTTTGAAAAGGTATTCAGTGGTACAGACAGGAAAGAACGTGGGATTCAGTAGCAAGACAGACAGGCAACGGCAAGCTCTGTATTGAGATCTTAGAAAAGTCAATCACACAAGTACAGGACATAGGATAACCTGAACATGTCTGAGAAAGAGATCTGTGATTGAGTTGCACCGTGTGGCCACCTGAAGACTTGACCTTATTTTAATCTGATTGAACCCAATTGTGGAATAAAAACACTGTGCCCTAGCTGGTCAGATTACACTTGAGGCACTCAACCTGCTTCTAGATGAGACGGTTTAAGAAGGAATTGACGAAATGGAGAGTGCTGATGAGGAAGGGGCAGGCAAGAACTGTGGTTTATGGGGAATGGCTGAAGGCACTGGAGATGTGCAGCTTAGAGAAAAGCAGTCTTCAGGGAGCCAGATGCCACCTTCTTACCATAAAGCCATTAGGGGACTGGGCCTGCTTAGTGGTTCAGAGGGCAGAACAGTGGCTGAACAGAAAAGAGTTCAGCTCAGTCTCAAGCAAAACCTGTTAAAATTAACTGGGCTGCTGTGAATGGTGATAAGTCCCCTCTCTGGAGGCATGCTAGTACAGCTTGGAGGGGGCACTGGTCTCCGGTGTTGAAAACATGATTCAGACCTTGCAGTCTGTGAGATGCTGGGTTTGTTGACTGCTAATGCCCTTTGAGGAGGAATTCTACGCCATGAGGGTTCATTTAAATTAGGCACTCTAACACACGTCACGGAGGTTGTACGCAGCACAAACGACATCCTGAGTAACATCAGCAACTGTCGATGCTGCCAAAATCTTAAAATCCTCTTAGATACAGCAGATTTGAGCTATTAACAAAACCGAGTAAGTCTATATCATGAACATCCAACAGTACCTTGACAGGATATGAGAAGAGCTTAACAAAACCAAAGTCGTCTCCAGTGGCTAAGAGCGAGCAGTCTCTCGTAAGACTGGCAGCATTGACATCTGTCACGTCGCTATGTGCTGGCCAGATGCCCTCACAGGTGGGCCCCAGCACACAGGTCCAGGTGTCCCACTCTATCTTCTCAATCTGAAAAAGAAGGAAAGAAAATTCTGTTATTTGTATAACCTAATTTTTCTATTTAAAAGCAACGACTGGAGCTGAGTAGTTCTATGCGAGGACTTTGCTAACATCAGGCACTTATGTTGTGAGCTGAGGTGCACGAATTCTAAGCTGCAGGTTTTAAATGATAGCTGTGTTGTTTATTAAACCAACACTACAATCAAATATCTATTTTTTTTCTAGATGAAATGAACATTTTGGAATTGTGGAAATCTACCAGGCCTCATTTTTCAGTTTTTTTTTTTTTAAGATTTATTTACTTATTTATTTGAAAGGCAGAGTGGGGGCGGGAATGGAGAGACAAAGAGAGCTGTTCCATCTGCTTGTTCACTCCCTAAATGGCTACAACAGCCAGAGCTGGCCAGAGCCAGGAGCCAGGAGCTTCTTCCGGGTCTCCCATATGCATGCAGGGGCCCAAGCATCTGGGTCATCTTCCACTGCTTCCCCAGGCCAGAAGTGGATCAGCCAAGACACAAACCGGCACCATATAGGATGCTGGTGCTTCAGGCAGCAGCTTTACCTGCTACACCACAGTGCCAATCCCAAGGCTAATTTTTCAGTTCTCAACTATGCATTTACCATTGGCTAAGCCACAAGCTAGATGTGAGTTTCTCAGCCCCAGCATGGACATCTTAGACTGGAAAATTCTTCCTTATCAGGGTCTGTCCTGTACATAGAAGGTGGTTCAGTGGCATTGCTGGCCCCACCCAGCTCTCTAGATGGTGCCAGATGGGCTGGGGACAAAACTCCTCCCCACAGAGAAACACGAAGCTAAACTGATTGATGGGATGATCATTTAGCAAACTATTTTAAAAAGTAGTAAGAACTTTTTTTTTTTTTAAAGATGGCTTCCTTGAAGGAAAAAGTAATAAGATGCTGCAGCCAGTTTAATATCTTTTATGCTCTAGGGATGATCTTAAACATTTGAAAAGCTTTTCAAATTGTATTGCCATGAAGATGTATCTTATACATTAAAACTGTTTGTATGAAACTCATGACTAGAAGAGCTGCAATTGGTTTAGGTTAAAAATGGAGGCATTTTTTTCCTAATTTTTTTAATTTAAAAAGAAAACAACAATAATAGCAATATTATGTCAGACTTTGCTGGGGGATTTTTAATCTCATTTACTTTAATTTGAAGTTGGCTAGTGTATCCTAGCAACAGGGTCTCTTTAGTTTGATGCTCTAAAGCACTATTTCAAAAGAGTATCAAAATTATTTAAAAAATAATCCTACCGAAGCTGGCACCGTGGTTCACTTGGTTAATCCTCTGCCTGTAGCGCTGACATCCCATAAGGGCGCCAGGTTCTAGTCCCGGTTGCTCTTCTTCCAGTCCAGCTCTCTGCTATGGCCCAGGAGGTCAGTGGAGGATGGCCCAAGTGCTTGGGCGCCTGCACCCACCTGGGAGACCAGGAAAAGCACCTGGCTCCTGGCTTCGGATCGGCGCAGCACCAGCTGTGGCAGCCATTTGGGGGGTGAACCAACATAAGGAAGACCTTTCTCTCTGTCTGTCTCTCACTGTCTAACTCTGTCAAATAAAAATAAATAAATAAATAAAAGATAATCCTACCTGGCGCTGAAGCTTAGATTGCCCCCTCTGGCTCTGCAAGCTGCTTGGCACACTGCAGCTGCACCTTGCCTCCAGTTTGGTTGCCTACTGCTTGGAAATTGCCCAATAAAGATGCAGCCAGGGTTTCCGTTGCCACACGGTGAGGTGTTACACATTTTCCAGGCACTCAAATCTCTTCTCATTTAACATTCTATGTTTCTTGTGAACACATGCAGAATCAGAACCAAAAATCTGTGTCTGGGTCAGGGTCTTGGGTGCCTCAGGCGGGGCCACAGATGGGGGAGACTCAACGCAGTTCTCCCAGCAACGACTCCGAGGTAGAAGTGGATTGATTCCTCCATCTTTAGGAGATCCTCACACCATTCACAGGAAGACACACAGGCAACCATTGCCTGCGGGTTCCCTTGCCCAGACTGAGACCCTGTGCTCTCCAGGGGTAGCGCATGTCCAATTAGCTACAGCAATTATATTAAATATGGAGCATTAGAAACAGTCCCTGTAATCCAGAATACCCAAAAGACTTAAACTTGTTACAAATCCTGGAACTAGAGCAGGTGTTTGGCCTAGCAATTAAGACACCCGTGCCCCACAGCGGGGTTCTTGGGCTTGATACTGGGCTCTCGTTCCTGACGCCAGCTTTTTGCTGATATAGATCCTGGGAGACGTCAGTGATTGCTCATATGGTTGGGTTCCTACCACCCACGTGAGAGACCCAGTTTGCACTTCTGGTTCCCAGCTCCCAGCTTTGGCCTGGTCTAGTCCCAGCTGTTGTAGGCATTTGGGAAATGAACTAGCAGATGGGTATGAGCTCTCTCTCTCTAAATAAACAAGCATCCTGGAGCTTAAATAGCAGAGTCCTCAAAGTCTCCCCATTCCCTTTTTAAAAATTTGTTTATTTAAAGGCAATATGACACACACACACACACAGAATCTTCCATCTGCTGGTCTACTCCCTAAATGACCTTAACAGCCAGAGCTAGGCCAGGCTGAAGCCAGGAGGCTGGAACTCCATCCTAGTCTCCCAAATGGATGTCTGGGGCTGATGCACTTGAGTCATCTTCCTTTGCTTTCCCAGGTACATCAGCAGGGAGCTGGATCAGAAATGCCAAGCCTGGACTTGAACCGGCACCATATCAGTGCCCGTTCAAGTGCTGGCTATTCCACTTCCGATCCAGCTCCCTCTGATGTGCCTGGAAAAGCATCAAAGGATGACCCAAGTGCTTAGGCCCCTGCACTCACATGGAGACCTGCTGGCTTCGGCTTGGCCCAGCTCTGGCCATTGTAGCCATTTGGGGAGTGAACCAGCAGATAAAAGATCCATCTCTCCCTGTAGCTCTGCCTTTCAAATAAATAAAAAATAAATATTTTTGTTACAACAAAAATGACCCTGAAAAGGGCATTCATTCATAAAGCATCCTAGTTTTCAGCAAGGCACTAGTTTATGGATTAAAAAATGTTATCAAGGTTTTGACTGTAACAATTAAAAAATTATGTGCATGGCTAAGGACATATGAAAACATTAAAATAAAGACAGTTTCTGACACTATGAGAAGCAATGACTTGATCAGCCCTTGTCCTATCGAGAAATAGTCTTTTTAAGTATTTTCTTTTTCTACTTAATACCATTGGTTAAACTCTTTACTTAACACAGAATTATTCTTAGGTGTTTAAATCCAACTGAAAATTGATCTCTGTTAAAAATAAGAATGAGAATAAGAGAGGGAGGAGATGTACAGTTCAGCACACATTCCCTCAGACTAAGGATAAAGCTAAAAACTTGCCATGGGACTCCAAATCCCATTAAGCTGGCAGGTACCAATGCCATCCTACTAGTTAAAGTGATAAGTTTAGTTCATAACTGATCATAAAGATAGGATTAAGTGTCAAAGGGATCACATAAATAGGACCAATTGTCTGCTAATAATAATTGATAGAATTTATAAGGAGAGAATGATCCAACATGGGAAGCAGGCCACACAGCAGACTTATAGAATGACAAATGCCCTAAACAGCACTCTGGCCTCAAAATCAGCCCTTAAGGCATTCGTATCTGTCCAAAAAGCCCAAGAGAGCATTTCAGGCATGGAAAGCCAAGATACTGTGGCAAAAAATTACCTACATGAAAGATCTCTGTGAGTGAGATCCCAATGGAAAGAAGGGGCCATCAAAGAAGGAGGTACCTTTTTCTGAAGGGAGGAGAGAACTTCCACTTTGATTATGGCCTTGTCTAAATAAGGTCAGAGTTTGTGGATTCAAGAGTCTTCCATAGCCTTGGCAGCATATGACAAGAGCCTCGGGTAATCACTGATGTCATAAATAAGAGTGTCAATTGTTAAATCAACAACAGGAGTCACTGTGTATTTGCTCCCCATGTAGGACTTCTATCCTTAATGTATTATACTATGAGAATTAATGATAAAATTAGCCTTCAAACAGTACTTTGTGTGTCTGTGTGGGTGCAGACTGTTGAAATCTTTACTTAGTATAGCGTTGATCTTCTGTGTAATAAGAATTAAAAATGAATCTTAAGGAAGAATGGGATGGGAGAGGGAGTAGGAGATGGGATGGTTTGGGGGTCAGAGAGTGGGTATGGGGGGAAGAACTGCTACAATCCAAAAGTTGTACTTATGAAATTTATATTTTAAATAAAAGCTTTCTTAAACAAAAGATAGTTTCATACGTTAGCATGGTCAGGTTGTGGATAGTTTCATTTTGAAAAGTAATTTCTGTTATTGTGGATAAAACTGTTTATTATTATAAGTAGACATTGAGACTATTTTAAAAATTCATGTTCATAAAAAGATTTGCACCAAAAGATGTTAAGTGGAAAAATTAATACGTAGCATCCAAGCTGACGCTTATTCACTGTATTCAGGCAGAGGAAAATTAAGCAGAATGCCATCTGTGCATTGCTATGTCAGTGGTACAGCAGTAAATCCATGCATGCCCACAAATCCGGAAACCAGGTCACGCCATCAGATTTAGGGAAAGATCACACTTAGAGTACACTACGTGTAACTGACATACAGAATTTATTACAAGGCACACATTCAATCCTCACAATGCAGTTTTCAAAAGCTTTGTGTACAACTGTTACCTCTGAAGGTCTGATTACATGCCTCTTGCCTCTTGGAGCTTCAAAAAAGAGTTGTTCTTTGGCCCCAGAATTCACCTGCAATAACTTCCCTGTCATGATAGAATGAAGTAGAGAGACAATTAAATTCTGTACTGATTTTTTTTCATTATCAGAATCTGACTATGGCTGTTGCTATTTTGATTCATTTTAACCAGAGTCTCATAAAGTGAGTAAATATGTACTAAATTATTCAGAAGGCCATTGAAGGCAATTGCATGGCATGATACAAACCCCAAAGTTCTGATTTCAGATTATAGACCTCATAAAATTTGACCTTGAACATCCCTCAAGTAGAATTAATTTCGCTCAGTGGCACTGGAAACAACAAGTTTCCAAAAGCCTGGCAAAATCAATGTTTTGCTTTTTCCCTCTGTTGCTTCCTAGCATAGAGATGAAGTAAGAGCAAATTGCTTTGGCAAGAATGACGATTTTAGAATTGAGATCCTCGTCGGGAGCATCACATTTACTTAGGTCTGAATTCTAAACGTGGCTTTAAAGAGAAAAGACACACTAAACAAATTGGAAATGCTCATTCCCTTCCAACTCTCTCTAACCTGAAAATCTGAAATTCAAGACTTTGTGCAAATACAACATTGAGCAGTCTTTGGGTCTGATGTAAAATTATAATCGTAAGTTTATTTTAAGTTCATAACTGATCATAAAGATAGGGTTAAGTGTCAAAGGGATCACATAAGTAAGACCAAGTGTCTGCTAATAATAATAGATAGAATTTAAAAGGAGAGAATGATCCAACATGGGAAGCAGGCCACACAAAAAGATAAGATGTCCTAATTTTCCTACAATGGTAATCACCCTTTACAGTTTGAAATTTAAATGACTCACAATACATACAGTGTTTTTTCAGCTTTTTTTTTAATTATGGAAAGTTCCTAACATATAACAAAGTCAGGACAGTATAGAGAACCCCTGTGTGCCCACTGTCCAGCGTCCAGGCCAGGCCCACTGCATGGACCTCCACTGACTTCCTCACCCCAAAGTATTTTGCTGAAATCTCAAATAAAATGTTTACCTGTAAATAATTCTGAATGTGAGTGTGAGTGTGTGTGTCAGTGTGAGTGTGTGCATGTCTATTTTAACAATCTGACAGCCCCTTCATCATTGATATCTAGTAGTCCTGCAGATCCCTTTCTTGGAAAAGTAGTAAGAACCTCATGGTGGCCAGCGCTGTGGCGTAGCGGGTAAAGACACCACCTGCAGTGCCGGCATCCCATAAGGGTGCCGGTTTGAGTCCCAGCTGTTCCACTTCCAGTCCAGCTCTCTGCTTTGGCCTGGGAAAAGCAGTGGAGGATAGTGGAGGATGGCACAACATCTTACAGCTACAGTTTACAGTCCACAGAGCGATCCACGTGCATGATACTGGCTGTACACGGTTTACGAGTTGGAGTAATTCCAAAATTTCTACTAAACGTACCAAACAGGCCATCTGCTGTGAAAATGGGAATGGAGGTCCTAGCAGTTCGCTGATCCAGGATCGCACAGTCCCTATGTTTCTAGAATTGAACTTTTAGCATCTAGAAAACATCCTCCTATGACTCCCCACCCCGTGTGTGTGTGTGTGTGTGTGTGTGTGTGTGTGTGTGTAGCCTTCACGTGGAGGTAGCTGATGAGCCTGCAAAAGCCTGATGCGCTTTTCAATTCCTGGGCCTGCGTTGCCATGGACACAAGAGGCTGCGGCTGCGCAGTCCCTGGCGCTGACAGCCAGCTGGCTCTGGCGAATGCTTTCACTATTCCCGACAAGATCAGAGGCCCGCGAGAGATCCCTGCTTCTCAGCTCTGCTCTCTGCCCTTGCTAGGCCCGCAGGCCCCGCTCTGGAAGCAATGGGGCTGCTCTGCAGGCAGCGTGGCACCTGCTGGAGACCAGGCATGCAGGAACGGGAATAGCATGGCGACACCTGGCTGGCGCTAATGCGACTGGAGAGGAACCAGGGAGGATCTGTAGGCACACTTGCTGTTATTCTCCAGATTGGGCTCATTCCTCTCTAAAAGCCCAAGTATTCTAGTTTACTCTCAAACCACAGAAACCCTTCGGTCTTACCCCTCTTCTGATTGACAAGAGGCAAGATTGTTCTTCAAAGACCTCGGCTCTTCCTTACCCCACAAGGCTGGCCCAGGGCAGAGTGGGGGAATGGCAAGGTTTGAGTCTCACCCCATGGAGGGATAGCTCCACATGGAGGGATAGCTCCACATTGGATGACTTCACAGAGACACCTGCCTAGGCTCTCATGCAACCCAGCAATCCAGGACAAGATCCTAGGCTTTCCAAGTGAGACTGATTCCGCTTCACATCTTTATCATGGACACGGGGCCTAAACTCCTGAATGATGATGATGATGGTGGTGGGCAGCATAGGTTAAGCCACAGTCTCCAGTACTGGCTTCCCATATGGGTGCCTATTCAAATCCCGGCTGCTCTGCTTCTGATCCAGCTCCCTGTCAATGCACCTGGGAAAGCAGCGGAAAACAGCCCAAGTCGTTGGGCTCCTGCACCCACATGTGAGACCTAGATGAAGCTCGTGTTTTTGGCTTGGCCCAGCCTCGGCCATTGCAGCCACTTGAGGAGTAAACCAGCAGATGCAAGCAGTAGCACTTGGGCCTCTATACCCACGTGGAAGAAGCTCCTGGCTTTGGACTGGTCCAGCTCCAGCCATTGAGGCCAACTGGGGAGTGAACCAGCGGATCGAAGACCTCTCTCTGTCTCTCTTTCTCTGACTCTAACTCTACCTCTCAAATAAATAAACAAAATCTTAAAAGAAAAGCCAGGTACAAAAATGACAAGCACTGTAGGATTGTTTCCTATGAGGCGTACCCAGAGTAGTACTTTAGAGACAGAGCAGAATGGTGGTTTATAGGACTGAGGGACTGGGAGTTACGAAATAACAACTGGGTACAAGTTTTCAGTTCTACAAGATGAAAAGAATTCTGGATATGGATGGTGGTGGTGGTTGCTTACCAGTGCAAATGTGCACAAGCCCACTGAACTTACACTGCAAGATGGTGAATTTTATTATGTATATTTTACTACAATTAAAAATGATTTTTAAAAATCTTCCCAAAGGAAACTTTCTTACATCCCACTTGCTTTTGCCCTTCATTCCCTAATAGAAGCCATAACATGAGGGGGTATTAACTACTTAATAGTCATAGTGTTGGAGTTTCAGATACTGTGCCATGTACTGTGTGTATGTATGTTGTTGGTTCCACATAAGACTCCCCATAGTTCATTCCACCCAGTAAGAGAATAAATTCAAACTGGTTGTGTGTTTATGTTTTTAAACAACAAACCAGAAAGTATCAAAGAAGGAGTTTGAGAAGCAGCTGCTTCTATCCACGCCACCCCTGCCCTGCCCCTGCCATGGCCTCCCCAGTTTCTAGGCATGCTCTAGTGGCCACAGCCCTGCCTGATCTCAAATGCCAACTTCAACTGGTGTGACCCTGACATGAAAACCAGAGGGACTTGACCTGGCTTCCCTGGCTCCTGTTGGGACCTGTACTTATAATAAATTGCATGCTTCTCCCCTACCATTTATTCCTTTCAACAAAACCTCTGCAGGTTGTAAAGCTCAAATACAACCCAGATTCCAGGCTGGCACGCACAGCTGTAACTAAAAACCCACCTGGTGGAAGGACTGCCAAGCCCTAGTTTGTGGCCAATGCTTCGAAAAATACTTGAAATAAAAGTTCTGGCATCTTGGGGTGGGCGCATGTGGCACAGTGGGTAAAGCTGCTGCCTGCAATGCCGGCATCCCATACGGGCACCAGTTCGAGTCCCAGTTGCTCCACCTCTGACCCAGCTCTCTGCCATGGCCTGGGAAAGCAGCGGAGGATGGCCCAAGTTCTTGGGCCCCCGCACCCGCATGGGAGACCCAGAAGAAGCTCTTGGCTTTGGATCGACCAGCTTTGGCTGTTGCGGCCATTTGGGGAGTGAATCAGCAGATGGAAGATCTCTTTCTGCCTCTGTAACTCTGGAAAAATGTTCTGGAGTCTGAGCTAACCTCATGGGGCCCTCACCATCTTTCTCTGGCCCACCCCAAGACAGAGGATATGTCACCCTGTAGACTCCTTAGAGCTATCCAGGGCCTCACCCACCCAGCACATCACACACTCCTTCCCCACCTCAGTACTCCCCATGGCTCAATCTCCCCATCCTTCCCATCTCCACAGCTTCCCACACAGCCCTGCTGTGGCCCAGAATGCTCTTCCTTGCTGGCTGGTGAACTCCCACCCACCTCTCCAGGTCCATCTGAAAGGTCACTCCCATGAGAGCCCAGGGATTCCCCTGGGGCTCTGTCCTCAGAGCTCAGCCTGGCCTTGGTGCTCCTCTACCACTGTGGACTGTGGGGATCTGTCCATTCCTAGGTGCTGGCTTCAGACACTTCACGTGGTCCAAGCCTCCAGGACAGGATTTCAGAGTGACCCGCCCTTCAGCACTGACGTCCCCTCTGGGTACTACATGCTGGCCCAGCCCCAGCCACCTCTTCCCAGCTGACTCACCCACTTCTTCTCCAACAGCTTACCCAGCTTCTGCTCCTGTATTGTGTAAGTGCAAGCGTGTCGTCCTCACTCAGCTGTGTACTCGACAGACAGGGAGAACCACCTCTAACTCCCTGACCCTCCATGATTTAAGCGTATGACTACACGCGGCAGAGACTCAGCTTGTTAAATACAGACACATCCTTACAATGTTTCTGGCATGACTTGGAGGAGGTGTAGCGGTGAAACTTGAGGCAAGCTGCATGTAGCTTTGTATTTCAGCTAGAGGATGAAAACTGCCTGGCACGTTTTGGTCAATCCCCCAGCAGGTGGAGCTTTGGTTGGAAAAGGGAAAGCCGTCAGGCAGAGACCTAGAATAAGGACATGCGTGACCAACCCAAAGGTGAGGCAAGGGTGTGCTAGGATGGCCGAAGGCGTTGCGTCTTTCAACTCAGTGGCTTGAACTGATCATGCTAAAAACAGTAATGATTAAGAGACGGAAACACACAAGGGTAGTGGCAGCGACCTGTGTGCTGTAAAATCACAACTGCTTCTATTGTTGTGGGTTCCACTGTCACGCTCTGGGAAGCAGTACATGAATGGACATCGATTATGTTTCAAACAGAAACCATAGTTTGAAAGCCACACGTTACCTCTGCAGTCCCAGTCGATATGTGTAATGTAACTAGAAGCACCCTTACAGATGCCGACCCTTTTGCTTGTAAGTACGTTGTAGATATCCACGAAGTTATCATGGGATGCCACAGCAAGGTATTTTCCTGTATCTATAAAGAGAAATGTGCAGTTAACACCAAAGCATCTCATGTGGGAATTAACTTCCAGAAACTTACTCTTTGCCAAGCAGGGTAAAGAAAACATTTGAGTCCATTCTTCCATTATTTTTTTTGTCCCAAGACTGTGGTATTTTTAAAAGTATCTACGTCACCTTTACCTTTTGAGAATTTGATGTCAGAGATCATTTCTTTTCTGTGATGGAAGGAGACCATGTCTTCCACAGTGTCGGCATTCACCACCAGGAAACTCCCATCGTTCAGGCCAACGGCTAAGGCTTTCCCATCAGGGGAGAAGGCACAGCATCTACCACCTACAAGGGAACCCACAGAGGCCACTGCTGTTATCCAGCACTTCACTTCTGAACAAACCAGAGGCAGAGATGGAGAAATCTGCACAGGTGCACTATGCATGGACATGGGACTAGGTCAAAGCCGGGAGCCTGGAACTGCATCTAGTACCTCAGGTGGGTGGCAGGGACCCAAGCATTTAGTCATCTTCTGCTGCTTTTCAGGCACATTAGCAGGGAGGTTGATTGGAAGTGCAGCAGCCTGGACTAAAACTAGTACTCATATGGGATGGTGGTGTCACAGGTCCCAGGACTAGGTCTTTAACACTCAAGAGAACCAAAACTTCAAAACGTAAAACATCCCTTCTCCCCAAATCCAAGGACAACAACAACATAAAAAATATACTTTCAATTTCTTTAAGTCTATCCATTCATTGTTTAGTAACTGAACACCTTCCAAAAGGCAAATGGGGTGAATGGGAGAAAGGAGTAGGGGAGTAATATCATCAGTAACTTTGCTTTCAAGAAAGGAGGTGAGGGGATTTGGGTATAGTGGTTAAGATGCCCCTTAGGGGCTGGTATTGTGGTGTAGTGGGTAAAGCTGCCTTGTGTGATGCCAGCATCCCATACAGGGGCTGGTCATGTCCCAGCTGCTCCTGCTCTGATTCAGTTCCATACTAAGGCTCCTGAGACAGCAGGAGAGGTGACCTGAGTGAAGCTCCTGGCTTCAACCTGACCCAGCCCTAACTGTTGCGGCCATTTGGGGAGTGAACCAGTGCAGTGGATGGCAGGTCTCTCTCTGTGTCCTTCCCTCTTTTTTTAATATTTATTTTATCTTTTTGAAAGACATAGGTACAGAGAGAGGTAGAGACAGAGAGAGAGGTCTTCCATCTGCTGGTTCACTCCCCAGATGGCCACAACGGCTGGAGCTGCACCGATCCAAAGCAGGAGCCAGGAGCTTCTCCTGGTCTCCCATGTGGGTGCAGGGGCCCGAGGACTTAGGCCATCTTGCACTACCTTCCCAGGCCACAGCAGAGAGCTGGATTGGAAAAGGAGCAGCTGGGGCTAGAACCAGCACCCATATGGGATGCTGGCGCTTCAGGCCAGGTTGTTAACCTGCTGCGCCACAGCACTGGCCCCCTTTCCCTCTTTTTGTAACCCTGCCTTTCAATCTTAAAAAAAAATGCCCCTTAGGACACCTACATTGTGTATCAGAGTGCCTGGGGTCAAGATCCAGCTCTACTCCTGATTCCAGATTCCTGAGAGGCGGCAGGTGATGGCTCACAGGTTAGGGTCCCTACCATCCACACGGGAGATCTAAGCTGGGTTCCAGGCTCCTAGCTTTGGCCTGGCCCAGCCATGGCTATTGTGAGCATGTGGAGGGGAAACCAGCAGATAAGAGTTCTCTCTCTCTCCCCCTCTGCCTTTCAAATAAACAAATAAAAGGAAAAAAAATAAGAAAAGTATAATATGTAAGAATGGAAGATCTTAAAACCTCTAGAAACCAGCTTTTTGAGTATCATGTTTGAGATACAGACTTGCTTTACAGAACTTCATGGCTCTAATTTTACTCTAATTCTCCAGTCCACAGATCATAACACACAATTCTAGTGGTGAGAGTTTGTTCCTGCCTCTTCTGTCTGGGAAGAAGTGGAACAACCACCTTCCAAGGGATCTCTGTGAAGCTAAATGGTACCAGGATGATGGCGCTGCATGAGCAGTGCTTTCTCCTGCTTTGTAGGACATTTCCAAATAACGAGTATGGACTTTGTGGGGTATGTTTAATAGGTTGCTTGCTAATCCTCTGCCCGCGGCACCGGCACACCGGGTTCTAGTCCCAGTCGGGGCGCCGGATTCTGTCCCGGTTGCCCCTCTGCCAGGCCAGCTCTCTGCTGTGGCCCGGGAGTGCAGTGGAGGATGGCCCAGGTCCTTGGGCCCTGCACCCCATGGGAGACCAGGAGAAGCACCTGGCTCCTGGCTTCAGATCAGCGCCGTGCGCCGGCTGCAGCAGCCATTGGAGGGTGATCCAACGGCAAAGGAAGACCTCTCTCTCTCTCTCTCACTGTCCACTCTGCCTGTCAAAAAAAAATATACCTACCAGCTACTACTGTTCTTTTTTAACAGCTTGAGATTGAATACATGTATTATATGACTTATCCATATGATCCAATAGATATGAATATGATCCCAGAGTGGTGCAACCATCACCACAATCAATAATAGAAATGTAGCATCACAGGCACTGTTCTTACTGTCAAGACTTTGGTCAACACAGCTCCAGGGATGGACCAGTCATGCAGTCCTGTGCTAAGGCATTTCCCACTAAGCTTCCACGAAAATTCCTTTGTCACTCTTCATGGTATGCTGTGTTGGTTCATTCGATTGTATCATTCATTTACATAGATTTTTTTCCAACTATGAGTCAGACACATTTATAGAGAATTTAAAAATGATCTGCCTATGAGGAAAGTGATCACTATTAGGTTATGCAAAAGTTATGGCACAGGCCGGCACCGCGGCTCACTAGGCTAATCCTCCACCTAGCGGCACTGGCACACTGGGTTCTAGTCCCAGTCGGGGAGCCAGATTCTTCCCCAGTTGCCCCTCTTCCAGGCCAGCTCTCTGCTGTGGCCCGGGAAGGCAGTGGAGGATGGCCCAAGTGCTTGGGCCCTGCACCCCATGGGAGACCAGGAGAAGCACCTGGCTCCTGGCTCCTGCCTTCGGATCAGCGCGGTGCGCCGGCCGCAGTGCGCCAGCCATGGTGGCCACTGGAGGGTGAACCAACGGCAAAAGGAAGACCTTTCTCTCTGTCTCTCTCTCTCACTATCCACTCTGCCTGTCAAAAAAAAAAAAAAAAAAGTTATGGCACAAACCAGGAACCTTCTGAGAATGAAAAGCAGAGCTATTAATAATTATACCAGGACAACAGAGGTAAACTGGGTTGAACTGCCACCCTATCTAAAGTGTGTCAATACTTATTCTTTTGAACTAATTTTTAACTTAGGGAATAAAGTCCATTGACTGATATTCCATTCCTCTGAAATGAGGACCTGGTCCACTGTTTCCCCACTAAGAGTGAGTGGCCAGAATGAGTCAACCTTGTAGACGTTAAGAGCATGGCTTTGGACTCAGACCTGGGGTAGAATCCTGACTCCACTGCTTGCCAAGGCACAGGTGGGCAATGTGAAGCGAGCCAACGCGGGAGAGGGAGACAGTGGCCACAGGTGTGCTCTCTGGGGCCACACCATGCTGCCTGGGAAACAAATTCAGTTTCATTACGTATTAACTGCGTGCCTTTGGGCAAACTGTGTTAGTTCCCTGTGCCTTAGTTTCCCAATCTACAAGTGGAAATAATAATAGCCTTATTCATTGACTCCTTATGAAGACTAAATGTGAAATAGTAGCCTCATGTACTGACTCAGGGGTACTAGCCACCATCACTACTGTTCCTCATGTCTGGATACCTTTTCTCTTTGATATATTCCTCTAGGACACACTTCCCATTGCACGTGCTTATAAAACTACGCAAGACAAACATTTCAGAATCAAACACCAGGTTCATCCTTTCCCGTATGAAGAACTTCCATAGACTTTGAGCCTCAGCTCTTGTGTCACCTCCATGAGGCTGTCCCAGCAGCAGCTCTTCTGAGTCTCTGAGGATCCTGCTGGAACTTGACATCCAGTGTGTCCCTATCCATTTGTCCTTCACCCCAGCGAGCTGCTGTGTGCCTGAAGCTGCTGCCCATGTGGCCCCCTCGGTTTCTTGTTAGGTTTGGCCAAGGGAGAACATGGGCAGGAGACTGCAGGGATGGGGGAAGGTTAAGGAGCTTGGGGCATCTATTTTCCCAGCTTCCTCCTGCAGGGTCACTGCATGCTGGTCTAGCTCTTGACCGATAGTCACAGCTTGTCCCTGGCTGTCGTCTCATCCAGCTCTCACTTTCAAGGTTCCAGCCATCATGCAATGCCTTCCTCTTGCCCCTTCAGGTGCAGGGCTGGTAATGGATCTGCTACAATGCACTGCACTATTCCTGGTCCTTTCCTTAACTCTACCCACCCCATTTTTAAACTCTGCTCAGATTACCCAATGTGAATGAACCATCTGTTGCAGGGATTCTGTTCAAATCCTCTCTCTCTCTGATACTAGATTTGGGGCCAGTCATCTTGGGATCCCCAGTGCCTGACTCAATGAATGGATGAGCACCTCTCCATTTTCCTTTTCAGTACACCTCTGACTTCTAACGCACACAGATATTCAACACATATTTACTCATCTCTTCTCATTAAATATACTTTTTTCTACATAATCGACCTTTGTATTTCAGTGACAAGTCCTGGAGATTGATAGTCATAAAGGGAAACAGCTTTCCTTACAGGCTGATGTGCTTTGAATCACTCCCGCAGCTCTCGGTGAGAAGAGGAAGGACATATTGCCCCCAGGTGGCAATTGTGTGTGCAGTGCAAGGGAAATGAACAACCTAGCTGGGCACCATTGTATCAGCCGGCCTTTGGGGATAATTCCATCTGCACATAGTTATGACTGTAGAATTCCCATGGCCTAGCATCTTGCAGGGCATATAACAGGTGCTCTCAGTAAATACTCGTTAAGTGAATAAATGAACCCAACACATTCTGCAGCTTTGAAATACTGGTACTGACACGTCGAGTGATACTGGGTACCTTTTTTAAGTTTCCGAACTGCCAGCATACGGTGCTGGGAGGAGAGTTCCCAGATCCGAAGCGTTTTATCATCGCTCACTGTTGCACAGATGGGCAGGAGGGGGTGAGCTGCCAACCCCCACACTTCTCCTTCCATGTGCCCCTGTGGGAGAGGAAATGGGGAAACAACTCAGCTCCTGCTTGCTGGCTGGCCTTTCCTCAGCCCCCCACGGAAGCCCAACACAAAACAACACAGTTTCAGCTTCCAGCGTCAACATGATCCGTACTGAATTTTTTAATTTGAACTTTAATCTAAAGCTGGGCCTAGATAAGGCTAAATCATTCATTTGCGAAATATAATATGGACTCACTGCTTACTGGGGGTGTTTATATGGGGCTAGACATCTTTCCATTTGGAAACATCAGAGGAATAGCAAAGTGCCCTTATTTTATCCTGTTTGCTACAGAACACAGTACATACTTACCTCTTGGTAAAACAGCTTGACCACAATGACACAAACCACAAACCACCATAAAGTCATATTTTAAAAAACACAGGCATCATCTTTGTTAGTAGAATTTCATGGCGATACTCTCGTTATTTATGTAATTTTAGTTCTTTGAACACGTAGCATCTGGCAGAGCCGATAGAGCGACAAAATTTCATTTCTATTATCCTGGCTACAGCTCAGGTTCAGAATTTGTTTACAAATTGGTCTCCCTGTGTGTCACAATGAACATCCCAACACTGAAAAGTACCTTATATGCACTGGGCCAATTCCACGTGCTTATATTTTATAACAATCTTGACTGGCTTAGAATAACTGAGATAAAACAGTATTTTTTTTTTTTTTTGACAGGCAGAGTGGACAGTGAGAGAGAGAGAGACAGAGAGAGAAAGGTCTTCCTTTTGCCGTTGGTTCACCCTCCAACTGCCGCTGCGGCCGGCGCACCGCGCTGATCCGATGGCAGGAGCCAGGTGCTTCTCCTGGTCTCCCATGGGGTGCAGGGCCCAAGCACTTGGGCCATCCTCCACTGCACTCCTGGGCCACAGCAGAGAGCTGGCCTGGAAGAGGAGCAACCGGGACAGAATCCGGCGCCCCGACTGGGACTAGAACTCAGTGTGCCGGCGCTGCTAGGCAGAGGATTAGCCTAGTGAGCCACGGCACCGGCCAAAACAGTATTTTAAAAGCAAACACTTAACAGAGAGAAAGTGAATTTGATTCCTATAATTTATCACTCAACAAAGCAGTATGAGGAGATTAGGACCACAGAGCAATAAAACAGACTGCTTCCTGAACTTCTGCTTTCAGTGGTTAATTATCAAAAGGCATTGCTTAGTAAAGCAAAATTGTAGAGATGACACATGGCCGTCTGAAAGGCATTTCTGACTGGGACACTGTGGTGGACAGGTGGCTTTCCAAAGAGAAACGAGATGATTCTGATTTAACTGGGAAGCGAGCTGAGCCAAACAGTTATTTGGCGTAAGAGGCAGTGTTTGGCATAGAGCTGGCATCCAAGTCCTTGAGAAAACCAGGGGCTAACAGGTGCACCACTGGTTTTGAACTTACTGGGTGTGGGGACACCATACATTCCCCGTTTTCTGGTTTCTTCTCTTCAGAAGCTCCCACAGCCAGGAGATGGGTTGGGCATCAACTCCCACAGCCTCTAGGCCCTTCCACCAACTGAGTTGTTTCATACATTTTATTGGAGGAGCGGCTGTGGGGCTCCGACACGTGGCTTCAAATGACTGCCATATATTGATTTTAGAGTTCTATTTCCCCCATCTGATTATGTTAATCTTTGGATAACAGCGGTGTAGGCAGTGAGCATGGTGGGCTGGAAGCACCTTCAGAGGCACAAGGAAATGGGCTTGGGATCTGACTTTGTTACTCATCACCCATAAAGCTGGCTGCAAACAGCTGCAGACCAGAGGATTATGTACAGAGCCCACCACGTGCCACTCTCTCCCCTTCTCCACCCTAACTTTTCTTCCCCTACAGGATAAGAAGTCCATTCTGAATGCCACTGGATTGACATGCCACCAAAACTTGGGAGAAGTGGCTCTGAAATCTTCTCGGGTGGGACAGCGCCTGCCTGGTCCCTTAACTGTCCCTCAGGGGCTGTCCTCTCTCTGTATGTGACAGTGAGCCCTAGACAGCAGGCAGCCCTTATCCTACTGTGCAGACCACACAGCACAAGGCCGACCTTGGCTGTAGCCCAGGTAGGAGCATTGCCTGAACCGAACTGTTGAGTTCTAGGTAGGAGGCAACAGCAAAATGACAGAACAGAATGGGGAACAGAGATGCCAGGGCAAAAGGAAAACAGGTACATATGTAAGGCGAGAAGGTAGATTGGGCTGCTGCTGTGGCATAGCAGGAGAAGCCACTGCCTGCAATGCTGGCATCCCATATAGGTGCTGGTTCGAGTCCTGGCTGTTCCACTTCCAATCTAGCTCTCTGCTATGGCTTGGGAAAGCAGTAGAAATGGCCCAAGTGCTTGGGCCCCTGCACCCTCGTGGGAGACCTGGAAGAAGCTCCTGGCTTTGTATCGACACAGCTTGGGCTATTGCAGCCATCTGGGGAGTGAACGTGTGGATGGAAGACCCCCCTACCCCCTTTTTCTGCTTTTCAAATAAATAAATAAATCTTTTTTTTTTTTTTGACAGGCAGAGTGGACAGTGAGAGAGAAAGACAGAGAGAAAGGTCTTCCTTTGCCGTTGGTTCACCCTCCAATGGCTGCCATGGCCGGCACGCTGCGGCTGGCGTACCGCGCTGATCCGATGACAGGAGCCAGGTACTTCTCCTGGTCTCCCATGCGGGTACAGGGCCCAAGCACTTGGCCCATCCTCCACTGTACTCCCTGGCCACAGCAGAGAGCTGGCCTGGAAGAGGGGCAAATGGGACAGAATCCGGCGCCCCGACCGGGACTAGAACCTGGTGTGCCAGCGCCGCAAGGTGGAGGATTAGCCCAGTGAGCCGTGGCGCCGGCCTAAATAAATAAATAAATAAATCTTAAAAAAACAAGGAAAATTACTAGATTTCTAAAACCACGCTATTAAAAAATAAAAATAATAAATACTTGCTTTTCAGGCAAACAAAATACAAAGTATGGCCAGACAGAAAAAGTCAGTTTGCAAGCCAACAACGAATGCAGTATAAGCTGGAGAACAAAGGATTCACTCCTTGGGGATGTCTCTCCAGGGCAGGTCCACACTGCCCGCTGGGCACAGGCAGCTGCAGAGACGGCGAGGTTGTGGAGCAGCTTGTTTTAAACACAGATTCTCTCTCTTGATATCCCGGGTGGGCTTGGACACATGTGTTTTTAAAACCTTGCAGCATTTCTGAGCTGTGGTGTGTACCAAGACCCGTTTCCAGGGTACAGCAAATTGGGGGGACGGAGGGGGCGCCCCCCATGTGAAGCTCATTGTCATCAGTGCACATTCTTCTCTCTCCAGGTTCTGAGCACACACACTGCTCCCCTCACCATGCCCCTCCCATCTAGAATTAAGGTGCATGCATCACCAAACACACAGGATTCCTGACTCACCTCCAAATCCTAGCACTTCCCTGCCCTAGGCAGAGATTTTTACCCTTTCTGTGCTCTTTAAGGATTCTGTTGATGTTTATTTTCATCTGACCTTTATCCAAATACGATTCTTGAGGGGATAAGGAAGGCAAGAAGTACATAGACAACTGTGTGGCACGAGACTGAGACCAGAGTGAGAGACACAATCAAAAGAGGCACTCAGGCTTTCCGTGTGTGGGCGTAGACAACTGGTCTCCCTAGTCCTACAGCTAGATCAAGAGGAGATGCACACCAGGAGTCTCATCCACACCCAGACCTGACTTCAGTGGTGAGATTCTGGACTTCGAGCAGATATTAGAGTGGGATAGGGCTCTTGGGGACCTTGGGAGGTATAAAGTATCTTGTACATGGTAGGGCATGATGAATTGGTGGCCACGGGTGGGAATGCACCAAACTCTCAGGGTGACCCTCAGGATCTTCTGGGTCCTCACACTTCTACAGACAACTCCCTTTGAACATGGCATGACCTAGGCCTTGTTTCTAACCAACTAAAGCATGGAAAGGTGATGGAATGCTCATGGCTGCCATATGTGATGATTTCTACATAAGACTGGGATTTGATTTCCTCTCTCTCTCTCTCTCTCTCGCTGGCTTTGAGGAAGCAAGGAGCAATGTCAGGGAACCCTACGAAGCAAGGAATTGTGGGCACCTGTACGAGCTGAGGCTGGTCTGTGGCCAACAGCCACCAATAACCTGGCTGAGCTTGCAATGAGATCCTCCTCAGCTGAGCCTCAGACAAGACTAAAGCCTTATCACGACTGCAGCCTTGCAAAACCCTAAGCTGAGGTCTTGGTTAGGTTGTGCTCCGATTCCTGCCCTACAGAAACTGTGAGATAATGTGTGCTGGCTGAAGCTGCTAAGTGTGTGGCAATGTGTTGCACAGCAAGCGGTAACTAGGACAGTACGTACAACCCTGGGAGTGAGTGCCGCACTATCCCACCCCTAGTGCCAGTCCCGCTGTGGTTTAGAGTATGAGCAAGCACTGTACCTGAACAAGCAGTGTCATTGGACCACTCTTGTCAATTTCCAGAATCTCCCCATTTTTTGTTCCTACCAGGATATGTCCATGTCCCAAAGTAATGGCACGAATTGAAGGGTTATCTTCCAAAAGCAAACCTGGGGGAGGGAGGATGGTGTTTACATATAACAACAGAAAAGACTGATTATTAGTATAAATTCAATTTTTATCCTTTCAAAGTACTAAGTACTAAGATATCATCCTTTACATTTCTAGGAGGGGCTGAGAGCTCAATACTGAAGACAGACAGACAGAAAGAAAAAGAAAGAAAAAGAAAGAAAACTAATTTAGAGACAGTTTTCCAACAAGAACGTTAGTACTATCTTCTCCATCCTGGGAACATAAATATTTCTATTCTATATTTGGGAGTGGCACCTTTTGAGCTAGTTGACAATGCTGCTCTTTTAATGGCGTAAGTCTTCAGACATCTTTCAAACATATCATCCCAGAGCTCCACGATGCCATCCTTCCCACCTGTTACAAAGCCCTGTGAAGGCACACATGGCAAGTATTACACACACATCAAAATGACCTATCACCCACCTGGCCCCAAAGGATTCCCCTGTGGGTGATGCAGTTTCTGCACGTGTCGTCTTCCTAAGCAAATGAGACTGCATAACATTTTCTGGAAGTAGCTCTTCCCCAACTCTCTAGCAAGATTAAGCACATTCTCACTATGTGTGCACCGTACATTCCTTAGACCACAGGTCTGCACTTGGCACTCTGGCTCAGGGAAGGCTGCTACTGAACCCAGCCCCCAACCACAATGTAGGCTCCTATGGGACAGCACAGCCCCAAACCCAGCAAAGTTCCAGCTGTCTCATACTCTCACAAAATGGATTAAAATTAACATCATAATTGAAAATGACTGTTAGATATTTAAAATTCAATATTCATTTCCAGGAGAAAACATCCTTATGTATTAAGAGTAACAAGTATCTCACATAATGAAATTACCCCATTTTGTGCAACAATTTCCACAATAATTAAAATCTACATTAATTTGTGCAAAACCTGGAAAGTAAAACATAACATATTGGATATTCTTTTAACCAAACAGTGATCTTTATTCTTGTTCTAAGCTTATGGTTTCTTGGCTTTACTAGTTTTTCTTCCTGGCAATTTTTCATATATACCAACTGTTCTTAGAGAATTTTTTTTAACAAAAATACTTTTAATGTTTTTCTGTAATAATTCATTTTGTTTTCTCAAACTTTTAATGCATTCCAGTAAGGCACATGAAGAAATATTTTGAAGTTTACTACTTTACTTATTTATTTTTTTGACAGGCAGAGTGGACAGTGAGAGAGAGAGACAGAGAGAAAGGTCTTCCTTTGCCGTTGGTTCACCCTCCAATGGCCGCCACAGCCGGCGCACCATGCTGATCCAAAGCCAGGAGCCAGGTGCTTTTCCTGGTCTCCCATGTGGGTGCAGGGCCCAAGGACTTGGGCCATCCTCCACTGCACTCCCTGGCCACAGCAGAGAGCTGGCCTGGAAGAGGGGCAACCAGGACAGAATCTGGCGCCCCGACCAGGACTAGAACCCGGGATGCCGGCGCCGCAGGCAGAGGATTAGCCTATTGAGCCGCTGCGCTGGCTGAAGTTTACTACTTTAAATACCCTTTATTCTTTTTAGTCATTCTTCTACAACCAACCTTAGACTGTTTCAACCAACCTGAAATTAAACATACTCAGAAAAAAAAATGTGTCTTCATTAACATGCATATTTTCTTTCCTGATATTATTCACTCTATAGTACAGTATAACTTTTATATACACTTACATTGTAGTTGGTACTATAAATAATCCAAAGGCCATTTAAAGCAAACAGAAGGATGCATGTAGGTTACATGCAGATACTGAGCTACTCCATAGAAGGAACTGAGTTCACCCACAGATTTGGACATCCATGGGCATCTTAGAACCAATCCCTTGCAGATACCAAGGAATGACTACACAGAATGTGTGTTCAAGGAGAGTCCATCCTCAAGTTCCATTTAGGTGAAGAACGCTTCTATTCTATTCTGATATCATTTCTTTCCCTGTGATTTTACAGCTTAACTTACCAAACAGTGAGAGTTTGAACAAATGATATTGTATCAACTTTCGGGCCTACAGAAACTTTGCATACTGCTGTAATCTTTTTCCATGTTTGCAGTATAACCAAAAATAAATTTGCCAGCAAAAACAGCCTAACCACTAAAACCACCATTATAATTGTGCAATAACATACTTTTGTTGTAAGATCAATCCATTTACTTGGGGACTGTGAAGGAAAAGTGAGCCCTGTGTAAGTAGGTTGGGTGGCTTAGACTGAAGGTCAGAGAGCTCAGAGGAACTGGAACAACCAGCAAACTAAAAATGAATGAAAAAACTGCTGTCTTCCAAAAAAGTGGTTTAATGGTACTGAAGGTTGAGTGTCTTCTTGTAAAAGATCACTGCACGTTAGGTGGGCACCTGGACAGACCAAGATAAGCTTGAGTAGATATACAGCTGGTGAACACATTTCAACTTAAAAAAAAATCTATTTATTTGAAAGGTGGAGTGACAGAGGGAGAGACAGATCTTGCAGGTGCTAGTTCAATCCCCAAATGGCTGCAACGGCCAGGGCTGGGCCAGGCTAAAGTCAGAAGCCCAGAACTCCATCTGGGCTCCCACATGGGTGCCAGGGACTCAAGTACTTGAGCCATCTTCCACTGCTTTCCCAGGCACATTTGCAGGGAATTGGATCAAAAGAGGAGTAGCCAGGACTGGAAGAGGCACTCTGATACGGGATGCTGACATCACAGGTGGCAGCTTAACAGGCTGCATCCAACAGTGGCCCCAAAACTGCGCTTTAACACCTCTAAATATGTCTGTGCAAGAGCATACTGGCTATGAACCTTTCCATTAAAAAAATCAGTATGTGGGACAATTATCTAACCACTTGATACTTCCAGGTTCTGCCCCTTTGTGCCACTTAGAAGGAAGACAATGCTCAAATATTTCTCAGGACTCTTCTACTACCATTGATGTGTCTACATTTATCCAAACATTATCTTAACAGAATTACTTATTTGAAAGGCAGAGTGAGAGAAAGAGAAGAGAGACAGAGAGAAAAAGGGACCTTCCGTGCACTGTTTTACTCTCCAAATGGCCACAACACCCAGGTAGACATCAAGAGCCTAGAACTCCATCCTGGTTTCTCCTTAGGGGTGGCAGGGGCCCAAGCACTTGGGCCATCTTCTGCTGCTTTCCCAGGCACATTAACAGGGAGCTTGGTGGAAGCAAATGAGCCAAGACTCGAACTGGAACTCAGTTACTGAATGGTAGCTTTGTAAGCAGTGTTTTAATCTGCTGCACCACAACACTAGCCCCAGTCACAGCAATTCTTAAGGGGCTCTTGGGAGTGAGAGCCAGGAAGTACAAGTGTGAAAAGAGTGGAGCGAAACTGCACATAAACAGCTGTAGGTGAAAATCAGTGTGCTCTCCTTCTTACCTTCCCTTGGCTGTAGCTTTATGACAACCACTTTGTGACACAGGACTGTTTTTAGATCCAGGCATCCTCTTGGTGGACTTTCCCAAGACTACTTTATAATTTTATAAAGTGGATGAGGAAAATGAATTCTGCAAAACATTCCATACCTTATCCAATGCATACATGGCAAACACAGGCCCGTCATGAGCTTTCACTGTTTTCAAGAGTACAATGTCTTTCCAAATAAAAATATCACCAGTAGCTGCCCCTGAGAACACCAGATCTTCCATCCGTCCATAAGAAACACACATCATTGTTTCCAATTTCCCGACACTTCCAAAAATTCCTCTCTTAGAGGTAAAGCCTCCACCTACAACAGACCAAGAATATTACTTTAAAACAAATGGGCACCTCCTAGGCATATATAGAATGACCATCTTCAATGAAAACCCTGGTGTGTCTACCTTAGGTGTACACATAATGGTGAAAATGGCACAGAAGATCATCCACAAAAATATTATAAGAGGGTTTCTCATTCATTAATTCAGGGTTTGCTGAAAACGACATTGTGGCAGGCACAGTGCTCAATGTTGGAGAAATAAATATGCAAATAAAGAGTTCCTGCTTTCAAGGAGCTTGGGGTCTGGCTGGAGACAGAGAGCTCACTCAGTGTAAGACACAGATCAACCATGGCTCAGAGCAAGTTCTATGTAGCCATAGGAAGGAATGACTGGGTGCCTACAGGAGTAAGCAAAGTCTTCATGAGTGCTAACGAAAAAGAGTAAGAACGGTGCTGATGGTAGATGTGAAATGTCAGCGTGTTACCTATGTTCTGCCTCAACTTGCATCACCCAATTTTCACATGAGAAAAATAAATGGCTGTGTAGAAGGAAGTACACTGGGACGAACCATTACATTTGTCCCCGGGATGTTCCCGTTTCCATGCATTCCATGAACAGCCTTGGGAAACTCAGTTTCATTCAAGACACTACACCCAGACTGGTTCCCCAGACGTTATCCTCTCTTCAGGTGCAGCAAGCACTAGAACAGCTTATTCACGTATTGTGCACTGCGAGATTAGGCTTGGCACCAAAGCCGACACCAAGAATTCAACAACAATGGTAATAAAGAGAATTCAATACCCTTCATGTTCAGTCATGCTTATTTAGCCATCATTATTATCATCATATGATCCACAAATGTTTATTTTGACCACCTACTGCGTGTAGAGTCAGGATTTAACCCATGTGCTCAATTCAGTGATAGATTAATAAAGGAACCCTCAAAAATACTGAAAATTATATTCACCCAACCAAAGTCATTATGTTGTTTCCTATCAGTAATCTAACAATTATTACATGCAGGACAGATTACTAAATATAAAAGTTATTATTTCCACAGTACAACATTTTCCAAAGCCTTCTAGGCATTGACAAATATGCACAGAATCACGTGGCTGTGACAAGTTTCACCACTTAGATAGAAGCCGTCTAAAGTGAATTTGGGGGAGAATTTTTTAGATACATTTTCATTTTAGGTTGCAGAGAAACAGGCCATGCAGAGGCAATATATATTTTTTCCAGAAGGAGTAAAGCTCTCAACCCCATAAATGGTAAGCCCCATCATCGGTACCTGCTTGTTGCCAGAATTTGATGTGCTTCATCCCAACGGTAACCAGTTTGTCCACATGATGTGGGTTACATTTTACCACAAATATTTTATCTTTATGTCCTCTGTAAGATATAAAGAGGAAAAATAATTCTATTTTGGAAAAATGCAAGGGAACAGAGTTGTACTAAAACATGCATTTGGTCTAATTTTCATTAAGCACATTTTACAATTAAGTTAGAAAATGATTTAAAATGTACACAGGGTCTACATTAAAATAATGAGCTTCAGCTTTTCTTTGTATGTCTGAGCCCTCTCTTCTAACCCTAATATTGTTGCCTACATCTACTTACTTATGCTGTAAACAAATTAACGAAATATTTAAAGCATATCAGAATGTCTCTGTAAGATAAAATGTCACCACTATAGGATCATAAGAAATCCCAGGGACTCCTTTAGGAGGAGGAAGGAGAAGATTCTAAAATAGTATTAAAGAGAATTTTCAAATACAATATCCTTTCTGTGGAAGCATCATTTCAGGTAAAACATATTTTTTTAGCTAGTAATGTATTTGCTAAAAATTAAAGGCAGCGGCTCCCAGGCATGGTGAGAGAAGGACATCAGTTCCTGAACCAAGGCACATTAGGATGCTGTGTGTTCAAAAGTAGATTTTTAACCCACTGAGCCAAAGGGCAAGCATGAAAATAAGGGGCTGATTGCAGATGTGGGCTATAGACTTGGTGCTTCACAGTGCTGGGGAAATTTCCATTACAGAGCACAGGTTCATCACATTAGAATCTAGAGGTTGCCTGGCATCAACGGACTGTTTGATGGTCTTTTCTGGAATTTGAAGACATAATTTTCATTATATAAAAGAAAAATGATGACCAAGAGGAACACAACTGATTAGTCTCCTTATGAATACAAATCCAAAAAAACTTCTAAGATATTAGGAAATATAATTCAAAAGCAAATTAAAAATACTATATTATGACCAAAGATAGTTTAATATTGAGAAATCAAATAATACAATTGATCATATTAACAGATGGAAGGAGAACAAGTATATTGTTTTCACAGATGCTGAAAAGGTATTTGACAAAAATCTAACACTCGTTCATGATTTAAAGATCTTCAACATTCAGCACTTAACAAAGCAGGAATGAAAAGATGCTTCAGGACACTTCCACTGCCCTGGACCCCCGACACTGAGAAACGCGGATTCCTTCAAGGCAACTCCCCCCGTGCTGGCTCTCCCGACCCAATGTGTGACACTATCCTTCCTTTATACACAGAACTGCTGGAACAGTAGCTTACTCCTGGGGTGGGAGTGCCTGATTTCAAAAGTCAGATTCTTACTTCAAAGTATTCCCAGTAGAGTTGGAACAAGACTATTACTTCACCTATTTAACATTGTAGTAAACCTAGTAACTACTTCAATTACACAAAATTAAAAGTGAAAGGTGAAGAGCTGGAATGGGAGAGAGAAAACTACTTCTATTTGCAGAGGCTAAAACTGTGCATCTAGAAAATTAAAAGGAAAACAATGCAACCATGACTATAATGAAAATAAAGTTTCAGTATATAAAATGAAATAGAGTCAATAACCTTCATAAACTAGTTGAAAATAAAATGGGGTAGCAGATGCTTTATTAAAAATAAAATATCAAGGCATAAACTTAAGAAATGTGTAATATATAAGAAATGTGCAATACACCCATTTTATATACATATATATAAAAATGGAATCACACCCCATGTTCTTGCATAGGAAAACTCAATACTACAGATGTCAGTTCTCCCTTGGTTTATAAATTCAACTTAATTACAATAAAAAGATCACTGAATGGCTTTCAATCTGGAGTTATACCAGATTACACAGTTACACAACTTGATGTTAAAGGTCTTATGGAAGATTAAAGCAGCTCAAGTGGCCAGGTAAACTCTGAAAAGTCAAGCAAATAGTTCTCCTAGACAGAAAGCAACTGATCAAGCCTCCGTAATTAAAGTAGTGTGGGATCTCTACATGAATTGACTGACAAAGCAGTGGCAAAACAGAAAATCCAGAAAGAGGCTCAAATGATTATAAAAGTGTAGTATATAATAAAGACAGGGTCTGAAATCAGTGTGAAAAAGATGAACTTTTATATTAGATGGATGTGAAAGGTATGTGGTGTTTATTGAAACTTGAAACTTTAGTTATAACCACAAAAACCTGAAGCAACCTAGATGTCCTTCCCCAGGTAAATGAACAAACAAACTGACATAGTCCAACAATGGAATATTATTCAGAGATAAAAAGAAATGAGTTAGGAAGCCAGGCAATGACAAGGATGGATCTTAAATCTAAGTATAAGAAGCTAATCTGAAAAGACTACATACTGTATGATTGCAACTATATGAGATCCCGGAAAAGACAGAACTATGGACATAGAAATAAATAATGAATGAATAAATGAATGAATCAATGCTGGGATGTATGGTGAAAAGGATGAAAGGGTTAAAAGAAAAACCAACCAGAACACAAACGAGTTTTAAGGCTGTGAAACTATCCTATATGATAGTTCAAATAGTGGATACATATCCAAACCTGCAGAACCCAACCCATGAAGAACGAACCCTAATACAAACTATCAACTTGGGTGAGACTGATGTGTCAAGGTAAGTTCTTCCATTGTAACAAAGGTTCTGCTCTGGTGCAGGATGTGACAGTGCAGGAAGCTGTCCATGTGTGGAGGAAGGGGCATATGAGAACTTCTAAGTTTTGTTCAATTTTGCTATGAAATTAAAACTGTCCTAAAAAATTAAAATCTATTTAAAAGGGGTGGGAATGAGTGGTGTTTGGAACACCTTGATAGCCAGGTGAAAAGGATTTACAATTGGACTATACTTCATAATAGATACTAGGATAAATTCTAAAGAGTTTAGAGACCTAAAGTCAAAAGATGAAGCCACAGAAACTTAGAAGGAATTATAGGTTATTTATCTCTAACCTGGGAATGGGTGATACTTTCTGAACTATGACTCAAAATCCTGAAGGAGCAAAATCTGATATTGATAAAGTTGACCACATAAAAACAAAAACCTTTTGCATGATGAAGACGCAATATAGCAAATTCAAGAGATGCATGATAAACTGGTGAAAATATCTGTAAGTTAATAGGCAACAAACCATCCCCTAACATTTAAGGAACTACTGTTTATATGAAATTGTATTTCAAAGAAACCAAATGGTTCATTGGGAAAATTCTCATTTACATAAGAATTCTAGAAAATATGAAGAATGATAGATTTAGAAAATCATCATTTCTTATCTCCATTAATAGACTTAGCCCTCAAGTGTCATTAGATACTACAGTCACTATTGATCAGCTCTTGTCCTGACGGTTGATGTACAATGTAATACTTTATCCATTTTAGTATTTTTTTTTGTTCTAGTACCATTGGTTGAACTCTGTAATTAACACACAATTATTCTTAGGTGTTTAAATTTTAACTGAAAAGTGATCCCTGTTAGGAATTTGGAAAACATTATGTTGAGTGAAATAAGCCAATCCCAAAGGGACAAATACCACTTGTTCTCCTTGATAGGTGACAACTAACTGAGCACCAAAAAGGAAACCTGTTAAAGTGAAATGAACACTATGAGAAACGGTGACTTGATCAGCCCTCACCCTGACTGTTGATGAGCAGCTTAATATGTTATCCCTCTTAGTATTCTTTTTGTTTGTTCTACTTAATACTTTTGGTTGAATACGGTAATCAATACACAATTCTTCTTAAGTGCTGAAACTTAACTGAAAAGTGATCGCTGTTAAATATAAGAGTGGGAATAAGAGAGGGAAGAGATGTGCAATTCGGGACATGCTCAAGCTGACTTACCTCAAACAGTAGAGTTAGAAACACACCAGGGGATTTGAATTCAATCCCATTGAGGTGGCATGTACCAATGCCATCTCACTAGTCCCAGTGATCAATTTCTGTTCACAATTGATCATAATGATAGGACTAAGAACCAAAGGGATCACATAAACAAGAATAGTGTCTGCAAATACTAGCTGATAGAATCAAAAAGGGAGAGAATGATCCAACATGGGAAGTGAGATACACAGCAGACCCATAGAATGGCAAATGTCCTAACAGCACTCTGGCCTCATAATCAGCCCTTAAGGCATTCGGATCTGGCTGAAATGCCCATGAGAGTATTTCAGGCATGGAAAGCCAAGACACTCTGGGGGAAAAAAAAAAAACCTAAATGAAAGATCTCCGTGAGTGAGATCCCAGTAGAAAGAATGGGTCATCAAAGAAGGAGGTACCTTTCTCTGAAGGGAGGAGAGAACTTCCACTTTGACCATGGCCTTGTCTAAAAATGATCAGAGTCAGTGAACTCAAAAGGCTTCCATAGCCTTGGCAGCTCATGACAAGAGCCTAGGGTGATTACTGAGGCCATAAACAAGAGTGTCAATTTGTTAAGTCAACAACAGGAGTCACTGTGCACTTACTCCTCATGTAGGATCTCTGTCCTTAGTGTGCTGTACATTGAGATTTAATGCTATAACTAGTACTCAAACAGTATTTTTCACTTTACGTTTCTGTGTGGGAGCAAACTGTTGAAATCTTTACTTAATATATGCTAAACTGATCATCTGTATATAAAGAGAATCAAAAATGAATCTTGATGTGAATGGAAGGGGAGAGGGAGTGGATAAGAGGAGGGTTGCGGGTTGGAGGGACGTTATGGGGGGGGAGCCATTGTAATCCATATTCTGTACTTTGGAAATTTATATTCATTAAATAAAAGTTAAAAAAATGTAAAAAAAAAGATACTACAGTCACTGGGTAATTTGCTAATGGGAAGCTGTATAAACCAAGTATCAGGCTACTGCCACTGTAACCTACCAGTCTAGCAGATTGTTACCAACAAGACAACTGGACATTTTGTGCACTGGTGCAGCACAGGGATAGTGTGGGCAGCTGTCCACCCTTGTGGGGAGAAATTCCTATGCTGATATGGTTTAGAATTGAAAACAGACTGGCTTTTGGTAGATTACTATTTTTTAAATTCTCTTCAGATAATTTATTACACCTAGGAAGTTTCAAACCCATTGATTCCACTCTCTGCTAT